GTCAGGGCTTTGGCTGAAAAAAAATTCATGTAAAATAAATTCCAAAGGCTGTAGATGATCTTAAGTTATTCGTTTTATTGAGATCCATCCATGAGTGACTAATGTTGAAGGTTTATTTTAGTCACGTTGAGATGCTATAACAAAGACTGGGTGGCTTGAACAACAGTTATTTCTTTCTCCCAGTTCTGGAAGCTGGGAAGTCTAAGATCAAGGTGCTGGCCACTTCAGTTCCTGGGGAGATCCCTCTCCCATCTTGTAGATGGCTGCCCTCTTGCTGTGTCCTCATATGGTTGGGAGAGAAAGAGCTCTGGTTTCTTTTCCTCTACTTATACAGACACTAATCCCATCATGAAGACCCCACCCTTATCACCTCATCTGAACCTAATTACCTCCCAATGGCTTCACCTCCTGATACCACCACATTGCCACATTGGGGGTGAGGGCTTCAATATATGAATCTGGAGGAAACACAAACATTCAGTCCATAACAAAGTTGCTAGAGGGATTTGATGCACTAGTAAGGTGATCTGGGAAAAGAAGTGTTTGCAAGTAGTCTGGTTGTAACATTTGTCATTTATACAGTTTACAGTGAAATACTATTATACACCACCTCACTATAGTATTTCTTTAATTATACTAGAAATCATATCAAGGTGCCCCAAATTGTACTGACACTTGAGAATGAAAAATTAGGAACTATAGTACCTCTGATTTAGTCTTCTTTAAAATTAAGTTGAGAATATCATGCAGACGTCAAAAGGGATAGGGAAGTTTATATAGACTGATAAGGAATGGCTGGATACATTATGTGAAAAAATTAAGATGAAAACAAGTTTTTAATAATAAGCTACCCTGTATGTAATATGGTTGTGAAATATAAATATAGATGTATTGTTGCAAAAAGAAATTTTGAAAGGATAAATCAGTGTTATAAAAATGATTGCTTAAAGGGTAAAGAGCACACCATACACAAAAAGTAAACTCAAAATGGCATAAAGACGTAAACAGAGACAAGATACTATAAACCTCCTAGAAGAGAACATAGGCAAAACATTTTCTGACATAAATCTTAGCAATGTTCTCCTAGGGCAGTCTACCCAGGCAATAGAAATAAAAGCAAAAATAAACAAATGGGACCTAATTAAACTTACAAGCTTCTACACAGCAAAGGAAACCATAAGCAAAACAAAAAAACAACAACCTATGGAACTGGAGAATATATTTGCAAATGCTTTGACTGATAAGGATTTAATTTCCAGAATATATAAATAGCTCATACAGCTTAATAACAAAAAAAACCAAACAATCCAATTCAAAAACGGGCAGAAGACCTAGACATCTCTCCAGGGAAGACATACAAATGGTCAATAGGCACATGAAAAAATGCTCAATATCACTAATTATC